TATTTTCCAGAAGGCATGCAACGTTCTTGTTGGACGTCATGATTTCAGTTCTTTCAGAGCAGCTGCTTGTCAGGTCAGCCTTTCTTTCCTGGATAAGTAGCAGTGTTTTTTATCTCTTGTTTTACATTTCTACCTTATGTTTCTCTTCTTTCAACATATTCGCCAAAAATCTTGACTTGTATACAGTAAATACTTTTTATGATTTTCCTTTGAAAATATGGAGCAAAATAGGCCTACTGGAAAGGTAGATGGTTGAAATATTTTCCGACAGTTATTGCCATTGCATGACAACTGACTGCAGAAATGTACAAAGATGATTACGTAGTATATATTTTGTCAATCTGTTGGAAAATTGACTTATGCTCTAGGTTAGAGGAAGAAACTCTATTTTTCTCTCTTTTATCTTGCTATCAAGCTGTCGAGTCATAAGTAATGTTTCAGCTCCATTTGATCATACGCCTCTACTAGCTACCAATTTCTTTAGCCATATTAGTTTGCTGAGTTGTTTTATTGTACCTATACTTTATATTCCTTTTGAATGGGTAGTTGAATAGATATTCTGGAATCTCAAGGCTAAAAACTTTTTACTGTTAGTTAAATGATCTTTGTGATCTATTAAACAGAACACTTGGCTAGGCTATTGGTTTAGGAATGTGCTTCCTCTGCATCCAAGTTCCAGTTGCCAATGCGAGGCCACAGGACGTATGTTGAATATCAAAAGGAATTAAAGGGAAAGGAAACAGAAAAAGGACTGGACTGACAAATCTTTAAAACTTTTAACTGAACTATGAAATGAGTCTATCCATTGTGATGGAGATTTATAGTTGTAATCTGTCTTCAGCTGCTAGTTATACTTCTTTACTTCTTGATGTGTTGTCATTTCCATTGCATGGATGAATAAAGTTAATTAACCTCATTGCGTTATATCATGGGAATGAAGATTGTCGGCAATGGGAGCTTGGAGAAGTAGTGGGGACGCAAACACTATGTGGTCGACAACGGCGGACTATATAAGGAAGGCGGCGAGAGAGGTGTTAGGGGTATCTTCAGGCCGCACCGGTGGCCACAAAGGAGACTGGTGGTGGAATGCAGTTGTACAAGGTAAAGTGGAAGCGAAGAAGGTGGCTTACCTGCGGTTAGTGGGGAGCACTGGAGAGGAGGAGAAGAGAGCGAACATTGCGAGATATAAGGTAGCTAGGAAGGAGGCAAAGATGGCAGTGACGGAGGCAAAGACGACAGCTTTTGCTCGTTTGTATGAGGAACTAGGGAACAAAGGCGGGGAGAAGAAGTTACTCCGACTCGCTAAGGTGAGAGAGAGGACGGCTCGGGATTTGGACCAAGTGAGGTGCAAAAAGATGAGGACGACAAAGTTTTGTTGGGGGATGACCAGATAAAGAGGTGATGGCAGACCTACTTTCATAAACTTCTAAATGAGGAAGGGGATCAGGATATTGTACTAGATGAATTGAGGAACGCCGACAGCCCCCATGAACTAAGTGATTGTCGGGACATTGAGGTCGATGAGGTCATGGAGGCAATGCGTAAGATGAGAAGGGGCAGAGCTACCGGACCAGATGAAATTCCGGTTGAGCTTTGGAGGTGTGTGGGTAGAGCAGGCTTGGAATGGCTTACTAAGTTGCTTAATGTTATATCCAAGACTAATAGGATGCCCGAAGAGTGGAGGTGGAGTACAATGGTCCCGTTGTATAAGAACAAAGGCGATATCCAGATCTGTAACAACTATAGGAGTATTAAATTACTAAGTCATACCATGAAAGTCTGAGAGAGAGTGGTAGAAATGAGAGTGCGAATGACTGTGTCTATTTCAGACAACCAGTTCGGGTTCATGCCGGGGCGATCTACCACAGAAGCTATCCACCTTATTAGGAGGATGGTGGAACAATACAGGGATAGGAAGAAGNCGTTATATCATGGGAAAATAGGCATTGTAGCAAGTTTGGGTGATTTGTAAATAATGGCATAAACAAGACATTATCTTCTTATGTGAAAATGCTTGTTACACCTAAATTATCTTCTTTTCCACTCGTCCCATTAAGATTTCCGTAGGAACTCCGGATAAATTTAATATTTTAATATTTATATTTGCTGCTTTCAAACATTAACAGGCAAACTCACCCATCAGAACTTTGGAAGAACTTAACGTTACTGAGGTTGTTTCAACTCCATATTTTCCATCAATCTCAGAGAGACTACGGAGCAATAGTGTGATGGAAGATCCAACTGTATCCTTGGGTTCAGACACCGACCATTCCCATACTTCTTTGACCTCCAATGAGGGGAAGTCAGACGGCACAAATGGCGAGGCTTGCCAAGACTTTGGCCTAAGAAGAAAACACCGTTGCTTTGTGGTGACAGCAAGAGCACGATCTTTCCTTTACCATCAGGTTGGTATTTGGATTCTTCCAAATTTTTGTTGTCTTTGCTTTTTACTGGTTTTTTTACCTCCCCAACCAAAAGAGACGTTGATAAATGATAAATAAAGTGCAAAAATTGGACTAGGGAAAAGATAATTTTTGTATCACATTACTTATTTAGTCTCAGTTTTAGGTGAAACACTTTCATATTCTAGTTTGAAAATTTTGTCGTTTCAGAATAATAATGTCTAATACAACCTTTACGTGATCCAAGAGTTTGATTTAACATTGTTACCGGATTTTTTCCTTAAAACATTTACACATGAAACTTAACAATTAACTCGAACTACTCTTTAGTCTCCATGCCAAATCAATCGTATCACATGAGATGGTCTGGGTTTGCTGTTTTTTGAGCAACTTTTAACAAAATTGACTTATCTTTTTGCTTTTTGAGGTTTGTTTCCGAGAAATTGAGTGGGTAAATGGTATTTCTGGATTTATTTAAATAAAGAGAAAGATGGAGTTGATGGATTCGGACTAATACATAGATACAAACACTAATAACACATGGGAACAATGTGTGCAAGCTTCTGGATCTTGCATTTAGTACCAAGCTGATATCATCAAATTTGTCATTTTCTATCAAATAGGTTTCACACATCAATTATTAAAAATAAATCTTATGCAGGTTAGGCTGCTTGTTGGAGTCCTTAAAGCAGTTGGGGCTGGAGATCTAACAGTTCCTGATGGTATTGCTCTTATGCTATACGTCTGATGTCAGCGGATATAGAGGGTTTTGTCTGACCACTGATTTATCTTTGATGCATCATTTCAGTAAAACGCATCCTTGAAGCAAAATCCATCACTGCTGCAAGTCCGATGGCTCCTGCTTGTGGTCTTTATCTTGGACACGTCAAATATGATCTGCCTCCTGACTCCTGAGACTTGACAAAACCAATCAAATTTTTCCAGTGAACTAGCTTGATGTTCTGTGATGAATTATGCATGTATTTCTAGATCTAGGGGCCTGCACAACTTCTTGTTAACAGCTAGCATTTCGTGCATATAGTGGCACCTGATGAAACTTCACTACTCACTTCAATCCTAGGGGCCCGGATGAGATTCATCCCTCTTGCAATCCAGCAGGCATCATTCTTTTACTAGAGAAATGATTTTGCTCTAGTAGAGGTTCACTACAGAAAACATAAAGTGATACTCCAGGATGTAGTTCTGTGGTAGCCAGGAAGGCACTTCTTGAGGAGTTGCAGGAATTAGCCAGTGTTCATTTATGCACTTATTTCCTATTCATTTCACCTTGCTTCTAGTGTAATAAACTATATGGAAAAAGGGGCAAAATACCCTTGTACTATTAGAAATAGTTAATATTTACCCTCACTTTCCGTTCAAATCTACCCTGCCGTTAGTAAAGTAAACAAAAATGCCCCTGTTACTAATAGTTGTCCATAGTGGCACAACATTCATCAACTTTTAAGCCTAGGTGGAGTGCATATCATTATTTTTTTTTAGTTTAAAACAAATAACTAAACCTACCTCTTCCTTAATTAAAATCTTCTTCCTCTAAACTCTACCACTGCTAGCATTATTCTTTAGATTTCAGCTTACTTTTAGAGGAGTTTTGAAACTAAACCAAACGCCATTTTGCAAACGCGTCTGTTTTCAAAAACTCGAATTGTGGGACGTAGTGCAATCTACGTCTCACAAATGTGTCCATCTCTGATGGGGATCTCATCGCCAAGCTTGCCCCCAAAGGAAAAAACCCAAAAAGTGAATGGCCAAATAAATTGTTGGTTCTCACCGTTTCAGCCTGCCAAGATTCTGTGAAAATTGATGAAGAATAGAATTTAAATCCGCCAAAGAAAAGATTTGAAGTTCATTTTGGGTTTTTTTCTTTGGGGCAAGCTTGGCGATAGATCCCCATCAGAGATGGACATATTTGTGGGACGTTGATTGCACAATCCTGGTTTTTGGAAACCGACGCATTTGCAAAATGGAGTTTGGTTTAGTTTCAAAACTCCTTTAAGAGTAGGCTGAAATCTAAAGAATAATGCTGCAGTGGTAGTCTTTAGAGGAGAAGAAGACTTTAATTAATGAAGGGGTAGGTTAAGTCATTTGTTTTAAAAAATATTGTAAAAAATTATGACATGGAGTACACCTAGACTTGACAATTGATGGGTCCCGTGCCACTATGGACAATTGTTAGTGAGAGGGATATTTTTGTTTACTTTGCTAACGGCAGGGGTAGATTTAAACGTAAAGTATAACGAAGGATACATGTGAACTATTTTCAATAGTACATGGATATATTTGACCCTTTTCCATAAACTATATGTATTTTTTGCAGAATAAACCTTATTTTTATTTATGCACTTACTTTCTATTCATTTCACCTTTACTTCCAGTAGACCAATACTATGTTATACTCTTCAGTATGTTCTGAATCTCAATGACTTATGTTTCAGCAAATGGCTCTGCAATTTCAGTTTCCCCCCTTGTGTACAAGATAGTTGCAGTAAAGTTGGGAACGCTCGAGGATGAACTGAAATGCGTTAAAATCATTATTCCTGAATAGTAAACATCATCCATTTCGTCAGTTGTAGTCCCACGTTTACAAAGAAACGCCCAAATATTTTTATAAAAGAAAGAAGTTACTGGGAGTGAATTTATCACCCTCAAAGTACACTTGACTTATCATTTGACCACTACCAAAAAAGAACAAAGGAAAATCAATTGTATTGACCTTCTCCAAAACTTCAGAATCACACGTTCGACGTGCATTAACATCTGGAAAAAGAATTAACCTACTGCATAAACATGGAAATAGCTGCATGAATAGAGCTCTTGCGGGCAGAACCCTCACGCTTAACCAGTGAATGTGGTCCATTCCAGACAGATCTTTGATTATCGGCAAATAGGATTCGCGATAACTCCATAACTGTTGGATTTTCAAGATAGCGCAGGTTCTCCAACATCTTGGCTTTCTGATACTTGTCTTGCAACTCCTGTACAAAATTTTTTAGGCCATAATAGTCAGAATGTGCCTTTTGCATACTGGAAACAAAAGTACAAACAATACTTATCCCATAGTATTTGCTTTCCATGAATTACCTTTGGCCTCTGTTGCCCAGTTGCTGCATTTTCATCTCCATGCTGCACATTTTCTTTTCGAGTGTCATTCAGCAAATCTCCACCTGGCTCCACATTTTGCTTATGATGATGTGCTTTGCGCTCATATACAGACACATGACCTGACTGCAAATGCTCAGAGGTGACGCCCGCACTTTTACTTTGGATTCCCATTTCACTCTCCATCTCTTCCTCTAGCTTCTCATGTAAAGCTCCCTGATTTTCAGTTAACTTTCTCTCTGCTCCTTTTTTTTGTAGATTAGCATCACCACCTTGCTCAGGTGAATTCTCCATATTTGATGAGGTGTACTCTCGACTTTCAACAGGTGAAGTTCCCTTTTAGAATGAAAATGGATAAAGAACAGTTAGTAAGGATGCTAAAAGAACTGCAAAGAAGTATAGGAACCACGCAAGCTCATATGTGATAATTCAAAATAACCTTCTTTGAAATAAGTAAAAAGGATACAAAAATTGATGAAGAAATTTAGCTTTAGAAATTCACAGCTTGATTATTTATTCCCCTCAAGTTATTAAGGTTGAACTAGCATGTCTAAGATAAGAAATAAAACATAATTACAAGTATCAAAATGTGTGTCCACCACATCTGGAAGCAAAATTTGTTAAAGAGATGACAAATTATTTATTTTCATGTCTGCAACACACCTGCCAGGCCGGATTTTTGAAGGAGAAAAACAAATAAACTAATTTTTGAGAAGTTGCACTACATACTGTTTCAAATTACATATTTAACGAAAAAACGAAGCACATGAAGATACATTGCCTGGCAAAAGACTGAATTGGGATGCATCACAACGAGCTTCATCAATCAAATGACCAGCTATTACTTATTAGATATCCTTACAAATTCACTTCTAAATTCCAAGACGGGATACAATTGCAACAAGCTAAAGCATATGATACAGACGTTCCAACATTGAGGGGGAGTGTTAAGAATATTGTAATTATTGCTCAACTTAAATACCAATTAAGGAGACATCTTATCTAAGATCAAATAGGATCGATTAAGAAGATTCTTTGTCTATAATTATGTATTCTTATATTCCATCTTGTTTTAGAATATTTGTATATTGCTACTTGAATCCAAATAGGCCTTCTCTTCTTTCTCAACAGATTCTTATTGATTCCCTTATGTAAACTCTTAATTACAAAGTATTCTTAACAGATAGAAATATATAAAACAGGGGCAACAAAACAGAAACTTTAATACCTCTGGTTTATTCTCCTCTGGATAATCATCACTAGCCTCTTGGTCATCCAACAGCCGAGTGCTCTCCTCCCGCTCTTGCCTGCGTCGTATCATCACACATATAGCACAAAGGCATCCTTCCTTGTGCTTCTTGAGCCTGAAGGAAAGCCAATAAAATCAAGGAAAATAGATTACACCTTCAGTGATGGTATTAACAGTAAATTGATACCATACTACCACCTTTAGCCAATTTGTAACGTCACCAGTATATAGCAGAAACCGGAAACTCATGCAAAAGTCTGGGGAAGGGGATTATACTTTCTAAAAGAAAACAGAGAAAGAATTTAAGAAAGAAGTGTGATAGGGCTTCCGATTGCGTGACCTTATGATTCAAGAACCAGTAAACTACTAAATAAGATTCTGCAACATTCAAATTACCAAATATTAGTAGCTCTTAATTGTGGCATTTACTTGACCAAATCAAACGCTATTTCTGCCAGTGTTAATTTTGTTTGGCATTGAAAATTATCGCACTAATATATCTTTGGCATTTTCCAACTTCTAAGAAATTAAAATTGCCTTTGTATTTTGCTTAAGAATTTTCCTATTCTATATTATTTCCTCAAATTAAATACTCCAAGTCCTCCTAATCAATGTAAAAGAGGATCTTCTTTTACAGAACCTTTGTTGAAGAGTCCATAGCGATATTGAAGCTAGGCTAACTGTAAATTATTAAAAGTAAATAGAAACATGGTTGGAGATTATATATGCAGTTTTCCTATTTACTTTAGGGGCTGTTTGGTAATTCTGACTAGCATCACGAATATGCCAGATCAGATTTATCCAGCATTTAGTACGTGTTTTTGGTTTCTCTGGATTAAGCCAGTTTCACGATTGTGAAAAAATTGGGGACATTGTTGTTAAAGGTCTTAAAGCGCGCTTATGCTATGAAACTCGGTGAAGCACAGGTTGTGCACTTCGTGTTGCTTAGTTGGCATTTAATATAGGTGTCAAGGTATGAACGCATATATATCTTCACCAATTGGCTCTGTCTTTAAGAGCACATCACTAGACAAGAAATATAGTGACAAAATGGTACATTAGTTGTTACGCAATCGTCATGATTGAACTTTTAGTGATTATGAATAAGAAATTGGATATTTTTGGTATAAGAAAAAACGAGCCACTGAAAACCTAAAACTACATATTTTTGTTCTATATCAGTATTTTAAAATGGCGTCTGAACTCGATTGACATGATTTTAACTACAAATAATTAGCTTACTTGCAGTTTCCCATCCTTCTCCCTTACCATTATTTGGTCTCCTATCCTGCATGCCCTAGTAGTGACCTCCCTCCAATGACTTCGTCCTGTCGAGTGACTTCTCTCCTACTGTCGACCTCCTTCAAGATAAGGTCTCATGCATTGCATCTAGTTCACCATCTCCCCTCCTGCCAATGGAGCAATCCATTCCCTGACATCCCTTTCTCTGCTGCCCATAACCAGTCGTTGAGCTTCACTTCTCTCTGATAACCCCAGTGATCTCGTCCTTCTATGGAAAACACCCCCACCCCCCCCAAAAAAAATAAAAAAAATCACCCTGCTAATGCCACAAGTAGTGACTCTCTATCACTAAATGGCTTACTTAGGGTCGCCAGCAAGAATGCATTTTCCAAACTGACGGAAAAGATGCTTACCATCCAAGAAACTACACAAAATTTGCCTATAATTATGAGAAAGCAAAAGGTACAGCCAATTATCATAAGAAAAGAATTTCTTTGGTCTAAGGCTATGTTGCGCGGACTCTCCAAAATGTAGCCGCACCCGTGTCGGATCCTTCAAAAATGCACTACTTTTGGAGGATCCGACACGTATCCGGCCACATTTTTGGAGAGTCCGGGCAACATGGGTCTAAGGCAAACCCAGAAGGATAGGATTAGTTGTGGCACACAGTTGCTCCATAAAGGCGATAAGGCTTAATAATATTGCAATTGAGATATCTAGTTTGGACAGGAGTATAGCTATACATTCTCTGTTTGAGAAAAAAGATGTGCTTTTCAATGACGTCTTATCTTCCATCTCCTCGAACCTTTATCAATAAATGATGCGCAATTGCTACATTAACAGATAAAAAAAATTCATCTTTATAAACCTTTTTCTGGCTAGTTTTATGATAATAAGTGTTCAATTTCTCTACATGTACATTGTACAAACATGTCTAGACCCTGCATAGAAGTGATGGCCAATGAGAAAAGTATGTAATTCGAGCATACAACAACATACCCTTGAAGCCTTTTGTTCTTCTGACTAAAGGAACCACCTTTTGTAGGTTCCTTTCCATGACTTGAAGGTGTAGTGTCCTTAGTTTGACTGCTTTCGGCACCTAGTCGGATAAGAAGACGTGAGTTTTTTTTTTATATTTTGGTTAAAAGAAGAAATGAGTTAAATGCTGATTAGCGACAGTTTAAAGGCTCAAACAAGGAGAACACAAGATAGAAGAAATTATTTAGTGAACATTTAAATTAATGCTTTTCCATAACGATGAAGTATTGTATGACGATATATCAAATTGTATGCAGACACATAAGGGAAAAGAGAATTTTGGAAAAGAAGTGAAATTTTACTTGGTAAATGCAGAAGAAAGAAGAGAAAGGAACAAAGGGACTCCAGAGGCATATATCTCTTCCAGCCCTAAACCAAACTTTGATACTTTTTGTAGTCATATAAACAAATCTACCTGCTTCAAGTATGGAAACAAACAGACAAAACCACAAACCAAGACAAACACGTGCCAGTAGATAGTTGGCATAGAGTAGAGCATTCAAAATTGATGAACAATGCTTAATAGCTAGGCGTGCAGAAAAGGAAGACAAACATATAAGCAAATTCAGCAGATTGATACTGGTATGAGAATAGATTAAGGCGCTAGAGAGATTTACTTTGCAGATGATCACTGTATAAGCCAGCTGCTGTCCAGTACTTTGCAAAGTTCTTTTTCACCCGCTTCATGAGCTCCANTTAATGCTACAAGAACTTGTTATACGTGAACAGTGGAAGTTGGTCCTGCCAATACCAAAATATACATAAGACTTTTCAGCCTACACGGGAACCATTTACAATAGCTTTAATCAGTGTAACAAATTTTACAGATTCTGTATTTACTTGTCAAAACCCTCTCACAGGGACATGAAATTCTTGGTGTTGAATTAGAACCTACAAAGCCAACTCTAGAATACATTACTCCTACTATGGAAGAAAGATACTAGAAAAGTAAATTATTTACTTACAGGAATTCCAAGAGCGATAGGATCAACTGGAACATTGAAGGGCTCTGCTGCATCCATTTTCATAATTTTTCTTATAACCTAAGTAGACAGGAAATAAAATTAATTTAGCATAGAAGTTATATCCTTAAGATACCTTTAAAAACTTGCATCTTCGAAGCATGGTAAAACACTATGTTTGGTTCCATGAAAGGGATGGGGAGGGGAAAGGAAAAAGAAGTTCATTGATATACTATCCATAAGCGGAGGTAAGGGTGAAAGAGAAGTAAAAGACATAGAATTTCTCATATCCGTCCAATTTTGGAGGACTAGAAAAGTTAATATGGAGGGGTAACCCTCCAATTCTACCTCCTCTCCGCTTTTACTTCCTTACCAACTAACAGCTATAACTCATAACCTTCCAACCCAACAAGCCAACACATATGGAATAGGTTAAAACTGTGCATTTTCTGAACACACCATTACAAATAGATTAGGTTTCTTTGTCCCGCTTACCTCCAAAGCAGTGTCTAGCTCCTGCTTGTTGAATCTCAAATCACGGCGAGGTAACTCAGGCTCTTGCTGTTTTGTCTTCTCTTCCTTCATCATTTCAGCATTACTACAAGGGCTCATGCTTGAAGAAAAGCCCTTTGAAGACTTAATCTTTATGCCTCCAGATTTTTTTGGCACATTTCCAGTGGTAGTTACATTATCCTCGGGCAATGAGTTTGCACTGTCTTCCATTTTCTCATTAGAAACAACCTGTTTTTCTGGACCAGCTTGCTGGCTACTTTTATCAGTATCACTAGGAGTAGCTGCTTCGGAAGAGGTACGCTGGGATTCTAACGGTTTTGAAGTTTTGATCTTTACTTTCATACGCCCATAAACTGCTAAACCTGCAGGTTTATCCCTTGGTGCACCAGAAGTAGCGATTACAGTTTTTTCCGGTAGACCAGTTACGGTAGAAGATGGTGTCTCAGCCTCAACTCCAGAGTCAACTCCATCATTGTCAGAGTCTTCTGTGCCAGAATTTGTTTCTGTATTCATACTACCATTATTAGGAGCATCCTCACTCGTTCCAGTTGTCCGAGGCTTCTTTGCGTTACCTTTTTTGCTTCCGCGTCGACGCTTCATCTTTTGTGAACAAATACTTAAAGTGAGTAATAGTCTTTAGTCAGTTGAAACTCTCAAAAGGACAAAACTAGGTTGTATATCTAGCACTAGGCTGCTTCAAGCAGGAAAGTATTGTCAGCCTACAAAAACCGCGATAAACAGGGAACAGTTAGAAAAATAATCCAATTTACAAACTATACAAAACTAATCCCAAAACATATTATTGCAATCAGGTGCAACATCAGTAATTCAAAAGCCCTACTTGGACAAAAAACACCAATTTTTCTACTTGTAAACTTGACATGGATCTGCTGCACCTCGAAACAACATACTCATTGATTTTAAATTAAGAAGACATTACAATACACTTCCACTTTTTGATGAGAAATGTATCTTGGGCCTAACTCGATCTCTAAAGCTAGCTCATGAGGTGAGGACCCCAGTCCATATAAGAAGACCAAATATCCACGTCCCACCTGATGTCCGACAATTCAACCGTTTTAGCAAGAATTTTGCTGTACTAGTCTCTTCCATAAAGAAAAGTTAATTAAACATACATGTACTCTTCAAAAACAACCTGCTGAACACACACAGTTAATGTATACATTAAATCTCTTTTCAGAACAAAGAAAAAGGGATTGAAATTTAAAATTACCAACAATGAGAGCACAACAAAATCAAACCCTAGAATCCACCAACAATCAAGATATAAGAGAAAAGAGAGGAGAAAATCCAATCTAACTTAAACCATGAATTAAATAGCAAAAACAAGAACTTCTGACAAACCAACATAACCCAAAAACTACAATGAGAATTAGCAAAAGAAAAAAGGAAATAAGAGCTCGAAATATCAGAATGAACGATCAAGAACTTCAAAGATACAATTTTGGACGACCCGACAAATCCCATTATACAAAACAAGAGAACATATGAGTAGAAAACTAAAATTCTACAATAAAAATACACAGCTAAGAGTAGGAATCTGTAAAAGAACTAAAGATTTTAGGTAGTGAAGGGCTTGAGGCTAAGAGCCCCACCATTTCCTTTGTAGTTTTAGCCTTCAGTTGGAGAGCTTACTCTTTTCTTTTTGAATCTCCCTCGCTTATGCGTTGATATACGTTGCGGTTGAAGTCGAAAAATATGAAAGGACCCCGAAAACACAAAAGCGATTTCGAAATTACAGAGGAAATCCACAAAAAAACCCTTTTTCTTTAGTTTTCACTTTTCCCTTTCCCTGTCGACATACTGCAATTAATATAGAATTTTCTTATGTAAACATTAACCCTCCAAATTTTTAAAAAATTTCACCCAGCTCCCCTCATCTTTTACTTTGACTAAATTACGCTTTTAGGACCTAATTTATAGAGTTGTGTGCAAATTAAATGTCTGAATGTTGGAGGCGGACAAGTTTCTTTGATTAGACATTTTTTGAAGTTGGAAAGCTATTTGGAGTTAAAGAATTAGCAATTGCCAAACTTAGGAAAACAAACTATGTGTTCTTTTCTTGACATATTATCATGTACCCAAACAAGCAAAAAGGAAAAGGAAAGAAAAATGAGAAGCGGGGGG